CCTGCCAGCAAAATAAATACTACGTTAATGCAACATTTTAAAAATTCAGAATAAATGCAGCAATAATTCACGATGAACAAAATACCAACATTTTAGAGAAAGACAAGATCTGACTGATTCTCGTGTGACTCACCTGCCTCATCATCCCCCAGCCCCAGCTTTATGTAAAATATTGATGTTTTGTTCATCATGGCTTCCTTCGCCTTAAATATTGCATTAAAATAGGATGGACCTTGGGCTGGCTGGTTAACTCAGAGTGTGGCCTTGGGACACAAAGGTCAAGGGTCTGGGCCCCTGCAAAAACCAACCAGCCAACCCCAACCAGTTCACTGTGGATTCACATGCAGTTGTAAGAAATAATAGGGGGCGTCTAGTACCCTCTGCCCATTTCCCCCAGTGGTAACATCTTGCGACACTGTAATACGATGTGACGGCCAGGACACTGACGTGGATGCCATCAGCTACAAGATGTTTCCATTGCCACAAGGACCCCTCCTGTTGCTGTTTGTACCCACACCCACTTCCGCTTACCCCAGCCTCCAGCCCCATCCCTGGCTGCTGACACCCCCCAACCTCTTTTGCATTTCTATGACTTTGGTTATTTCAAGACTGTCGTGTGGATGGAAGCACACGGTACGGTACGTGTGGGCTTGGCTTTTTTCACTTGCTGTAATTATCTGGAGATTCATCTTGTCACCTGTGCCAATATTTTCTCCCTTTTGATTGCTGAGTAACATTCCGTGATATGGATGGATCATGATTTGTTCAACCATCACCCATTGAAGGACATCTCGGTTGTTTCCACTTTGGGGCCCTTAGAAATAAAACTGCCATAAATACTCACGTACAGTTTTTCGTGTGTGAACATAAGTCACTTCTCTGGGATAAATGACCAGGCGCACACCTGCTAGGTCGCACGGGAGTTGGACCTTTAGTTTTTTAAGAGACTGACAAGTTTTCTTTCAGAGTCGTGTGGGGTTTGTTTTTGCTTTTGTTCTGTGTGTGTGTGTGCGTGTGCGTGCGTGTGCGTGTGTGTGTGTGTGCGTGTGTGCGTGCGTGTGTGCACGTGTGTGCGCGTGTGCGTTGTGCGTGCGTGTGCGTGTGTGCGTGTGTGCGCGTGTGCGTGTGCGTGTGTGTGTGCGTGCGTGCATGTGCGTGCGTGTGTGCGCGTGCCTGTGTGTGTGTGCGTGCGTGCGTGTGTGTGCGCGTGTGTGTGTGCGCCTGTGTGCGTGTGCGTGTGTGCACGTGCGTGTGTGTGCGCCTGCGTGCGTGTGTGCGCATGCATGTGTGCGCCTGCGTGTGTGTGTGCGTGTGCGCGTGCGTGCGTGTGTGCGTGTGTGTGTGTGTTCGTGTGTGTGCGTGTGTGTGTGTGCGTGCATGTGTGTGTGCGTGCCTGCGTGTGTGCGTGCGTGCGTGTGTGTGTGTGCGTGCGTGCCTGCGTGTGTGTGCGCGTGCGTGTGTGCGTGTGTGTGTGTGTGTGTGTGTGCGTGTGCGTGTGTGTGTGTGGCAGCTGGCCAGCACAGGAAGCGAACCCTGGACCGTGGTGTTCTCAGCACCACACTCCGGCCGACTGAGCCCACTGGCCAGCCCTGTATTTCTGTCATGGTTATCTTTTTCCAGAACATTAAAATGGACGGCAATATTGAAGAATTAAAACGAAGTTGTATTAAAACTCACAATGTCACTTATTATTTTTTTACAATGTCATTATTAAGTGTAAATGTTTTATTTATACCTAAA